GCATTCGGTACTTTTTATAAAGTCGGTAAAAAGCAAAATTTCGGTCGAAAATTATGCCGAAAACCAAAAAATTTTTAAGGTTTAAAATTTTTATTGAATTCAGAAATATTTCAAGAATTTTTACAAAAATTTTGAAAATTTTTACAAAACACCTCGTTTTGCAGAGAAAATTTGCAAGTTAATTTTCGCTATTAACTTTTGCTATTAACTTTCGCTATTAACTTTTATTGCCAACTTATGTATTAAATCTCAATTTTTGATACGCGTGTATCAAAGTATATATATATATATATATATATATATATATATATATATATATATATATATATATATATATATATATATATATATATATATATATATATATATATATATATATATATATATATATATATATATATATATATATTATATATATAAAACAATTGTAAAATTATATTTTTAAATAAATTTGTTTAATGGAATTGATTTTGACTTGCCGCAATGTAAGTATTGGTTTCGGTAAATTATTTGCCGATATAATATTATATGATATTTGTCGGTTTTGGCACCGAATTTAAGTACCGAAATTTTAGTTTAATTCGGTTTCGGCTTTTTTTCTGTATTGGTCAATCACTTTTGAAGAACGTTCAAAAAATTAAAAAATAAAAATAAAAATTGAAACATAAATATCATTAAACAGCTCTAGAGAGTTCATGTCATTTAATGCTTTTTATAATGAGTCCATCACTTTTAAAAATCTTTCAAACATTGTTGTTCTATTTGGTCCGGCAATCTAGCCGTAAAATAAATTCAACTCTGTGGTCTACTTTTACAGGGTCTTGTAAAATAGAATTTTTTCTTAGTGAAAGTTTAAAAACCTCAACTATTTTTCAAGTCATTTGTAAAGTCCCATTTAAATCATCTCTTTCACACATTTGGGAATCCAAATACTATTTCTTTCACATATTTGAGAATCAAATGCCAATCGCTTTGGCATATTATGATAGATCTTTTGCATATACCATATTTTACTGATACAATGTTTAATATTTGTTTAAACATAGCTTCTCGCCTGTCCGGAGCTGCCCGACTTTCCCCTATATAAGAAACCCGACTTTCCACTATATATAAAAAGATTTTCTAAAAAAACATTTTCTTGAAAAATAAGAAATGTTTTAAATTAACTTAATTTATCATATTTAAAGCTGAACTCCAATTGCATTTTACAATTTAAACTTTTTATAAATACAAAAAAATGAAAAGTTTACTAAGAAATAATAATACTTTGAGTAATTAAATTTCCAGCCCCATCAAATATTTATGAGCCTCTCTCGTTGGAAAACACTAGCTTCCTATAAGCCAATGCTTACTTATTATAATTGTTATGACTTTCTGAATGCCTTAATAATATAGTTGTAAGGAGGGAGGAGGCGGGGGGGGGGGGTTGGTCCTTACGACGTGCAAAATAATTTTGCACGAGCAGATTTTTATACAACCTAGGGCTTTAGGCATATATAAAATATATACGCATGACTCAATAAAAACACGAAATTTAATGTTTTTTTGTTATTAAATAATTTACTCTACCCAGGGACGGATCCAGTATTTTTTGGTCGTTGAGATAGCTGACTTCTTATTGGATTGGAGCCTGCGAACAAAAAAGCCCTAAAATTTTAGCTACATCTTAACAGTTATGACCTCATAAAATTTGCAACATAAAAAGTTTCAACCCCCCTCAAATTGAGGAAGGTTGAAACTTTTTATTGTCATAGTTTTTGAACGCTAAAAGATTTTTGTGGGAGTTTTAAAATTTGTTGATAAATATAGATTTAGTTAAGAATAGTATAAAAATTATTTTATCAACTTGTTGCTCTCACGTTTGGGGCAGGTGTAGCTAAACTTTAGGGCTTTTTTGTTCCCAGGCTACAATCATTACAATTTTTAGCAAAGCATCCTTATTTAATATAAGTATAAATATATAAATTTTTAGAGTTTGCTCTATGTCTTGAAGTTAGGTATCTCAAACACCAAAAAATGCTGCATCCGCCCCTGCTACTACTAATAAATAATAGTATAAGGCTGCTTTACAATTACTTAGTATATTATATAAAACATTTTATATTTTAACTGTAGAAGCAACTAATATATATTTATTGTATTGTCTTTACAAAATTAATGAATATAAACAATAAATAGTTATTATTATTTTGAACTTTTGTGTATTTTACTTGTACATCTTCATATAGTGAGGCCCAGGATTTCCAGACATGGCAGGGATGCGGAAGAGGGGAAATCTCCCAACCTTTCTGGTCGGTCAGACCCTGACAATAAGTGTGTAGACGTTAAATTACAAGACAATAAATAAAAAGTGTTATGCATTATTTTATTGATTTGATAGCGGCAAAGTAGAGCTCACAATTGAAACAAGTTGCATTAGGTAAAAACATCGAATGAGAAAAATCGAATGATGAAAAACATCGAATGAGTAGTCAAAATAGAAAAAATTAAAAAAATTAAACTCTGACTCAAAAGCTCATAACTTCTGTATTTCTCTATTTCCTTCTAAGTTTACTCAATGACTTGTTTTCCAGAAAACCCTAATCATTTACCTTTACTCCTTTATTTTCGCTTGTCTCTGACCCTAGCTTGTGTTCAGTCACTCCTTGTTCTCCTTAAGATGGTTCTAATCATTGTTTCATGGAAGCAATGTTCTCTATAAATCTTTTATCTCTTACTTCTTCTTCAGACAAACCCTACCACGTCATTACTTACTATTACCCTAAAGCTGACTGGAATTCTTTTTTGTGATTTTCTTTGTGACGGTCTTTGGGCTGATGTTTTTTGTTTTACCACTAATAAATGTGCCTTCTGTACAACCTTCTGTCTAACCTTCTGTCTAACCTTCTGTCTAACCTTCTGTCTAACCTTCTGTCTAACCTTCTGTCTAACCTTCTGTCTAACCTTCAACCTTCTGTCTAATCTTCTGTTTAACCTTCAACCTTCTGTCTAACCTTCTTCTAACCTTCTGAACAAAAGAAAGTATGATAACTTTCTTCATTCACACTCATTTGTTCTTGTTGCTATATCTAATCATAATTATCTTTTTCATCAATCTTTCTGAAAGTCTTATATCTAAAGTGGCTCTACTTGCTGACAACTCAACTTTACTCTCCTGTCTGGTCATAAAGTTTTCACTTTTTGATCACTTAGAAAAAAAGGCGATCTCCATTCTAATTTCTCTTCTGTAACAGCTTGTCGCTTTCAATTGCTTGTGAATTTTAACTCTAACAAAACTCAAGTATTTACTGATAAAAACTATCGCAATTTTGTCAACATTTTTATAGTAGTGAATGGCAACCCTCTCACTAAGTTTACTACTTTACGTCTTCTTAGATTATCATTCACTATTGACGTCTTATGAAAACCATATATACAAACCGCAACAAAGTTGCTTGCCAACAAAGTTGCTATCTTTCTCATTATTTGATTCTGTACCTCTACAAATTTCTTTCGTTATGTCTAACCATTTCCCTTGGTCCCTAAGAGATTAAATTTATTGGGAATTAACTGCACTTTCATAGTCACAGCTCAAAGGTGCTATTATTTTCATTTCCATCGACCAAAACTCATTCTCGTCTATTTATCAAAGTTGCATCCTTTTACTGTATTTGTTATAAAGATGCAATAAATAGATAACTCTTAATTCTCATAAGAGATGCAGTAAAAGGATTTTCTTCTAATGCTCGAAACACTTTAGTTCATCTAGTTTAAGTTTTTACATAATAAATTCTTAAATTATTAATAAATGTGCTATAATTACTATACCGTTGCTCTAAAATTACCATATTAAGTTACTAATTTGGAATTTTTGGGTATTCCATAATATTAAGTCGCTCTTTTACTGCTGATAGAATAATTCAATTTACTGCTGACTCTCGCACGATTATATTTCTTATAAATAATTCTGAAATTTTTGCAACATTTTTTATTTGCCTTTTTATCAACAATACCCAGCAAACATTTAGTCTAAAAAAGACGTTTTTTATACTCCTAAAAGACGTCTTTTTTAGACTAAATGTTTGCTGTGATAACATAAAAATGTTTATAAACTAATTTAACAAACTTATATATAACTTGTACACTTAAATCTTGAGAAAGTTTTCTGCAGACTTGACTTGAACTTGATTCTAACTTACATATATTTAATAAATATAACAATTTTTCTGAAATTCAACAACATGTTTCAATTATACAATAAATATTTTCAAGTATAAAACTGTTAAAAATGATAATTATATAATCGAAACATGTTGTTGAAACTAAGAAAAGTTGTATATATATATACAACTTTTCTATAGAATATATATATCTATACATATATATATATATATATGCTATTTATATGCTCACAAAATCACTCGATTTCCTTACTTTATTAATATTTTTTTATTTTAACTTTCATTTGCGAATGGATAATAGTTGCGCGAATTTAATTTTTGAACTTTTAAAGTGTAACTTTTACTATACTATTTTTAATAAATACTATGTATACTAAATATAATAAATATGTTAGTAATAAAAAGTATAATAATAAAAAATACTTATAATTAATATATTAAAAAATAATAATATAAAATGTTAATAAATTATTAATTTTAACTATTATTAAAAAAATTAATTACGGTTATGTAAAGATATTAACAATAAATGAGCCGTTTATTTTGAAAGTGGCTAAAGTCATCTTTTCAAAAAAATTATTGGTAACAATGATTAGAAAGTAACGGCATCTCTTCATTTGAGAAATAATTTAAAGAATTCTGTTGAAAATTATTGAGATATTTTGAAAGGAAATTTTGCTAGTTAACGGTATAAAGGTATATATGTTTAAACACAAACCATTAAAAATCTCTGTTTAAAAACAAAGTGAGAGTTAACAAAATGAGAGTGAGTGAGAGTTTATGCCACTTTCAAAATAAAGTACTCAAATAATCATCTTCAAAAATCAAAAAATCTCTTACCTAAGTGTTTATCCATTTAAAGATGTTTATTATTATTAAAAATCAAATATATTTGTAAGTACAACAATAATTACTTTACAACACTGTATAATTTACATATTATTTAAACTGAATCTATTTTAAACTTAAGTGTTTAATGAAGCATTCATTTAAAACACGTTTATATTTTAACCTCCCTTTCAGAATATTCTAAGGCTCCGTTTTTACTGGTTTCTAAGTTTTTTTGAGTCGTAGTTTATAATCATTTATATAAAAAAGACATCAGCTCTAGCAACTATCGATACGTAAACTCCCTAGATTTGAAAAATTTTGTTAAAAAAACAAAAACAGTTGTTTAATAAAATTATAGGTCAAATAATCCTTTTTTTACCGTTGTCGGTAAAAAAAAGAAATCTTTTTATGAAAAAGATCCTTTTTTAAACGTTTTTTCTTACTGTTGGAAATCTCTAAGAAGAAGCTTCTGCTCTCTAAAAAAAAGACATCAAAGCATGTAAAAACGAGAAAATTTCACAGTCTTTTTCTTAATTTCCAATTTTGAAAAGTATATATATATATATATATATATATATATATATATATATATATATATATATATATATATATATATATATATATATATATATATATATATATATATACATATATATATATATATATATATATATATATATATATATATATATATATATATATATATATATATATATATATATATATATATATATATATATATATATATCTTGCGCAAGGATTAGGGTTATTGCATATATTGCGATCAATGATATAGATATAACTAGATGTCTAACTTGCGAAATTTTAATGTACTAAAAGTGAAGCCGCTTTTTTTAGTTTATAACAATATTTCGCCATTTGTAAAATGGGCAAAAGCTGAAGCAAAAGTGTGCAATAAAAGTTAAAAGTACAAGTCAAAAGTTCCCAATAAATTAAAGATAATTCAAAAACAAATTTTAATAATTATAAAATACTTATAAATGTTTTTTTATGAGCTTATAATTATTAAAAAGTATTTTAATTCATAAAAATGCTTGAAAACCGTCTGTCGTTTTACTTTTCTATTCAAAACTTCATTTCATCAAGACATATATAAAATATAAAAAAATATATAAAACGTTTTTACATGCTTTGATATCTTGATGAAAACCTATCTTGGTATAATCAACTGTATCATCTAAAAAAAAACTTACACGAGCTAACAGTATGCTTTCTCTAATTCGTTACTATGTTCCTATCCAAACTCTTCGAATGATTTATTTTTCTTTATTCTCTTCTCACCTTTGCTATTGTTGTATTGTTTGGGGTCAAAAAAGAAACTTTTTACTTAACAACATTGCTAGTTTACAACGCGCATCTATTAGAATAATGACGTTTTCCCCAATGAGATCTGATATCGAAAAAAAATTTTCTGAACTAAAAATCCTAAAACTCCATAATCTTGTAAAGTTTTACAATTGTCTTTTTGTGTTTGACTTTCTCCAAAATAAACTACCAAGCCCTTTTTCAAATTTTTTTATTAAAACAAACGAAGTTCATAATCATCACACCAGGAATACAGAAAATAGTAAGCTATACTATTCTTTTTTCAGCACAATCAAATATGGTAAGTTTTCCATAAAACAACAATGTATCTCTCAATGGAACCAGTGTATTCCTGCATTAACAAAAAAGTCTAAGAAAAAATATCCACTTGTTACGAATTTTTTACTGCTCAACAGAATTCAATTTAAAAATATATTGTTGGAGTGTATTTCTTTATAATTTCTCTCTGTACTATAGTTGATTTTTATTTTAATTATTATTTACCAATCTTATATTTATTTATTATTGTGTTATTAATGTTACATTTTATGTTACTATTATATTTAATTATCATCTATGATTTGTACATACAATTTATATTGTATTATAATATTCTTAATATTATTGGTACTTTATTGTTATTGTTATTATTTTGTATTATTACTATTATTATTACATATATCATTATTATTTGTTTAACAATCTTTTCTTCTTTTCTTTATTATTTATGTATACAGATATTAAGTTTTTCCTTTTTTTTTTTTTTTTTTTTTTTTTTTTTTTTTTTTTTTTTTTTTTTTTTGTTTACTTCAGTTTCCTTTTTTTTTTTTTTTCTTTCTATTTATTTATTTTTTCGTGAAATTTTTATGTTTTTTAGGTGTCACTCCATTGACTAGTTTGTAACTATATGAGTGACACCTAACCAATTTATATTAATTTACGATGAAATTTGTAAATTTTATTGATATGGTTGAATAAAAAAAAAAAAAAAAAAAAAAAAAAAAAAACTTTAATCCCTTCTTAATCGAAAATAAATTAAGAAATCATAAATTATTAATTTACTAGTATTATAATTTCCGCAACACTTTTACGAAAATTGTATTCAAATTTAAAATATATTTACTTCATTTAAGAAATTTACAGGGTTATGCAAAATTATCAGTATATGCTCTGGGTTTTGTCGGAAATGATTTTTAATTACAATTTAATATTGTATTTTAATACCTATACAGCTTTCTTAGATGATTTTGAAAATGACTTGTACTATTATAATGGCATTTATTTATTGTTAAATAAAGTTTACAATTTTGCATAAAACAATTTATAATTTTGCAAAAAGCACTTTTCGGATAGAAGTTAGACATCTAGTTATGTAATATATCATTGGTTGCGATATAATTTTTTGCAAATAATTTCAAGAGCAACATAAATGGAAAATTTTCACAAGTCTTGCCATCTGACAAACAATTATCTAAGTTACGGCGTATTTTTCTGATTAAAATTAACTTTTTTTTTTTTTACTATTACAAACAAGATTAGGATAACTAAAAACTTTAGAACTTGAATCTTTGATTTCTCTTGTCTTTACCTATTTCTGATCTGAAATGAAAAATGTTTATTTGGAGCAAGAGATAAATACAGTACAAATTATAGATTTAGAATATGAACTTCCTATAACCAGTGGATACAGAGATTTAAAACATGAAAACAACAACATTTTAGAATGCTTGAAATAGTATTTTTGACTTTTACTTAATGCATTAGAAACTAGAATGAACTCTGTTGCTGTATTTGCTTTTACATGAAATCATTTTTAAAGGCACGAAGATAAAATGCAAAAGTATTTGCCATTCTACAAGTTCAGGATCCACTTGTTTTCCCCCAAAAAACTGAAACGAACCCGAAGCACAAAACGAACGCGGAAAAAAAAGATAATATTTGTCATATAAATTTAATATATTATTTTAAACGTAATGCATTTTTAAATGTTATATACTTATAACTACATTTTTTATTCATGTTGTTTATTTTTTCAGTTATTTTTGATCAAAATCCGTTTATTCTTTAAAGTTCAAACATGTTAAACTTGTTTCAAGTTTTTATATTCTTATTTTGATAAATCAAATAATATAACGGAAAACATTCAAAACTATGTGTGGAACCACAAATAACCGTAAAACTATGTATAATATTTATTTTAGTCTTCTATATATATAGTACAGTTTTTTGTATATTACATCTTTTACAGTTTTTTGGTTTATTACATTTTTTGTATATGTTTTATTACATTGTATCTTACAGTATTCAATATACATATTACATATCAGAGCCGCACTTTCGCAAGTGCAGCAAGTGCAACCGTACTGGGCCCCCGATATTTAAGGGGTCCCAAGTAATTAAAACATTTTTTTAATATGAAACTTATTTATAAGAAACTAGCCCTAGAAGCCAAGTCTTAAGAATCTTTAGTACTAAATTATTTTTTGATTAGAAACTTATTTTTTTAAGTATATTTACTAATTTTGCACGCTCAATCAAAACTCTATTCAAATGAAAATGGAATTCCGCTCAAAATTTCCTTTTAGAAAAGTTTTAATCTAAAAACCAATCTCAAGAAATATTTGATTAATTTGATAACGATTTACTTTGAAAAATTTTTAAAATATGTTTTAAATTAATAATTATTTTAAAGTTCTGTTGTTTTACTGTTTCAAATTGTTTGTTTTTATTTGTAAACAGATTTGTTAAGATTTTCAAACTTTCATTTAATTTAAATTTACCTTCAACATTTAATTACCTCAAATGTCAAAAAGATGTTATGAAAAAAGTGCACAAAAAAGAGCGAAACAGATCTGGAAAGTTACATAATTAAATAGCCTAACTCGATCATTAGAATAATTTTTTATACAAGGCGAAAGTTCGTCAGTTTCGAACACTACTTTAATTGAAATATGCAACTAAAATGGTAAATCTCAATTTGAAAATGATAATAATAAAATATTGATAGCCAGAACAAGAATGTAGATGGTGAATCAGGATCCAATAGCGTCAATATTGAGGATATTATATCTAACAAGGCTTCGGAAATTAGCGATAATTTACAAACGGAGAGCGGCACTTAACCAAAATGCAATTATGGTATATTAGATCCTGTAATATGGTCTGTTAAAACCGATAACAAAGAACGGATGTTTTTGATAGAGCAGTCACCAAAATGTATTAAAAAATATCCACTATAAAAGAAATTCTCAAGGATGATGCTTCAGTGCACTTTTTTTGCGAACAAATAAAAAATGGTGAAAAAGAATAAAGAAATTGGCTTATATATTTTAAATTGATAGGAAAAGGTTTCTGCTTATTTTATCGTTTGTTTTCATCGATAAAGATAGGCCTAACTTCAATTGGATTTTCTGATTATGCCCATACAGTAATACGATTATCTGAACATGAATCTTTAAAGAAACATCTTGAATCAGTGAGACAAATGGCGAGTTCTAGAACTGAACATTAAACACAGAACATGAATAGATCATCTCAATGAAGAGTTCAATTAAGAATAACGCAGATGGCGAATAATTTTAAAATGTATTGTAAAAGCGGTATTGTTTTAAACGAAATTCAGCTTTTAGGGGTAGCAACGAAAAACTTTTTGAATTAAACAATGGTAATTTTTTAGGAGTATTTGAATTACTTGCTGGTTTTGTTCTAGAACTCAAAATGCGTTTAAAACCAATCACCGATACAGAAAAAAGAATTACGTCATATTTTTCTGTGAAAAGTCAAATCGAAATTATCTTACAACTTGCTT